AATCATGAGAGGAAGTCCAAAACAACCAATCAGGCGCGAACACAACGCAACCTGAGATAAATTTCAAACACGCTAAAATTGTGTGAGGAAAGGGACACTCAAACCACACTGAAATCGTGAGAGGAGGTCCAAAACAACCCACCCAGGCACGTTCACGACGCAACCTGAGAGAAATTCTAAACACGCTGAAATCGTAGGAGGAAAAGGGACACTCAATCCAGGCTGAAATCGTGAGAGGAGGTCCAAAACAACCAATCAGGCGCGTACACAACGCAACCTGAGAAAATTTCCAAACACGCGGAAATCGTGTGAGGAAAAGGGACACTTAAACCATGCTGAAATCGATAGAGGAGGTCCAAAACAACCAATCAGGCGTGTACACAACGCAACTTGAGACAAATTCCAAACACGCAGAAATTTTGTGAAGAAAAGGGACAGTCAAACCACGCTGAAATCGTGAGAGGAGGTCCAAAACAACCATTCAGGCGCGTACACTACGCAACCTGAGAAAATTTCCAAACACGTTGAAATCGTGTGAGGAAAAGGGAAACTCACACCACGCTAAAATCGTGAGAGGAGGTCGAAAAGAACCAATCAGGCGCGTACACAACGCAACCTGAGACTAATTCCAAACACGCTGAAATCATGTGAGAAAAAGAGACACCCAAACCACGCTGAAATCATGAGAGGAGATCCAAAACAACCAATCAAGCGCGGACACAACGCGACCTGAGATAAATTTCAAACACGCTAAAATCACGTGAGGAAAAGGGACATTCAAACCACGCCGAAATCGTGAGAAGAGGTCCAAAACAACCAATTCAGGCGCGTACATTGCGCCAACTGAGATAAATTCCACACACGCTGAAATCGTGTAAGGAAAGGGACACTCAAACCACGCTGAAATCGTGAGACGAGGCCCAAAACGACCCGTCCAGGCGCATACAGGACGCAACCTGAGACAAATTTCAAGCACGCTGAAATCGTGTGAGGAAAAGGGACACTCAAACCAGGCTGAAATCGTGAGACGAGGTCCAAAAAAACCAATCAGGCCTTTACACAACGCAACCTGAGAAAATTTCCAAACACACTGAAATCGTGTGAGGAAAAGGAACACTTAAACCACGTTGAAATCGATAGAGGAGGTCCAAAACAACCAATCAGGCATTTACACAACGCAAATTGAGACAAATTCGAAACACGCAGTAATCGTGTGAAGAAAAGGGACTCTCAAACCACGATGAAATCGTGAGAGGAGGTCCAAAACAACCATTCAGGCACGTACACTACGCAACCTGGGAAAATTTCCAAACACGCTGAAATCGTGTAAGGAAAAGAGACACTAGAACCACGCTGAAATCGCGAGAGGAAGTCCAAAACAGCCAATCAGGCGCGTACAAAATGCAAACTGAGATAAATTCCAAACACGCTGAAATCATGTGAGGAAAAGGGACATCCAAACCACGCTGAAATCGTGAGTGGAGGTCCAAAACAACCAATCAGGCGTGGACACAACGCAACCTGAGATAAATTCCAAACACGCTGAAATCGTGTGAGGAAAGGAACACTCAAACCACGGTGACATCGTGAGAGGAGGTCCAAAACAACCCACCCAGGCGCGTACACGACACAACCTGAGAAAAATTCCAAACACGCTGAAATCGTGTGATGAAAAGGGACACTCACTCCAGGCTGAAATTGTGAGAGGAGGTCCAAAACAACAAATCAGGCACGTGCACAATGTAACCTGAGGAAATTTCCACACACGCTGAAATCGTGTGAGGAAAAGGGACACTCAATCCACGCTGAAATCGTGAGAGGAGGTCCAAAACAACCAATCAGGCGCGTACACAACGAAACCTAAGAGAAATTCAAACACGCTGAAATCGTGTAAGGAAAAGGGACATTCAAACCACGCTGAAATCGTGAGTGGAGGTCCAAAACAACCAATCAGGTGCGGACACAACGCAACCTGAGATAAATTCCAAACATGCTGAAATCATGTGAGGAAAGGAACACTCAAACTACGCTGAAATCGTGAGAGGAGCTCCAAAACAACCCAACCGCTCAGGGGTGCACTCGACGCAACCTGAGAAAAATTTCAAATACGCTGAAATCGTGTGACGAAAAGGGACACGCAAACCAGGCTGAAATCGTGAGAGGCGGTCCAAAACAACCAATCAGGCACGTGCACAACGCAACCTAAGGAAATTTCCAAACACGCTGAAATCGTGTGAGGAAAAGGGACACTTAATCCACGCTGAAATCGTGAGAGGAGGTCTAAAACAACCAATTAGACGCGTACACAACGAAACCTAAGAGAAATTCCAAACACGCTGAAATCGTGTGAAGAAAAGGGACTTTCAAACCACGCTAAAATCGTGAGAGGAGGTCCAAAACAACCAATCAGGCGCGTACACCGCGCCACATGAGATAAATTCCAAACACGCTGAAATCGTGTGAGGAAAGGGACACTCAAACCAACCTGAAATCGTGAGAGGATGTCCAAAACAACAAATCAGGCGCGTACACAACGCAACTTGAGACAAATTCCAAACACGCAGAAATCGTGTGAAGAAAAGGGACACTCAAACCACGCTGAAATCGTGAGAGGAGGTCCAAAACAACTACTCTATGGGAGAGAGAGAGACTTGTTTAGGATTCGTTAACGTTTATATTTATATTTATTGAATTTTTAGGTACTGTAAAAAAAATTCATTTGATTTCTATTTTTATTTTCAAATTTCATAAACACAAAAAAAATGGTTTACACCTGTTTAATATATATATTTTTTCATTTATTATTGTTATTACTTTTATTTTCTTCCTCTATTCTCTCACGCTTTTTAATGATCACCTATTGTTCATCGTCACCCATTATCGATGACTTCATCTGATAGCTTACCTCTTGCTGAACCAACTTCTACGATAATCACCTTTGGTTACCACCTTGGACGACTGACTTATCCCCATTTTCGACCATTGACAACCACTTTCAACTATTACTTCACATAGCCAACAACCACCTCTCATTAGCACCTCTGACACTTTCACCAACCATCCATTCACTTTCTTCTTCTTTTTTTTTCAAAATGAAATTTTAAAACACCTTTATACAAAACATATTTTCAATTTTTGTTTTTATTCAAAACAAACAAAAACATGTTTAATATTTTTTTTATAAATTATAAATATTACCGAACCACACCTTAATATCAATACTAATGATTACCAAACCACACCTTAATTATAAATTACCAAACCACATCTTACTCCAATGGCACGAGTTAGGACTAATGATTATTTTGTTAATGTGATTCTTTGCCTTAATTCACACTTTTGAGATGTCAAATTTTAGCTAAAATAATAAATAAAGAAAAAAGATTAAAATAATTAATAAAATAAAATGTTATATCTAAATCATAATTATTTTATTTTTCTCTCACAACTATCAAATTAATTGAAAAAAAGCAACTATAATTTCAAATAATTTTTTTTAATTATATTAAAATAGTCATAAAAAAATAATTAAAATAGTCAAGTTTTAAAGCGGATAATTTTCTCTGGTAATTCTCTCTCAATAACCAAGACGGCTAAGAGCCCGTGATTAAGTTTTTTTTTTTTTTTTTGACTTTTCAATTTAAGGTGTTTGGAATTAATTATATTTAAAAATTGACACAAGAAATTATTAATTTTTTTAATAAAAAACTACTACTTCAACCTCTTACTCTTCCCTATCATCATTTTCTCTCATTACAAAAAAATTAAAATTTTAGAGACTAAAATTTAGGGATAAATTATTTTTTAGGGATCAGATAATTTTGTTACGAGAAGTGTCGTTATTATATATTATATTTTTATTATGTTGTTCAATTACTTTGACGCAGCGAAATACACAGGGATTAGATATCATTCTAGTAGACGAAATGGGCCCTCGAATCCACGAGAAAAATAGAACCTTAAATTCACAAGGAAGAGAAAATATCTTAATATTATTGATTAAATTAATAAAAGTTGTATAAAAGTTGTGATAAGCATGAGGCTAATATAGTTATTTATAATAAACTAAACCTAATACTTGTCGAAAAAGTAATTCTAAAATAAATTAGGAAACTTAAATCAACACAAATTAGAAAAACCTAGGAGAATAGGAAACTAGAATTCTAAACTATTTAAAATCCTAGTCAAAATCTAATTCCAAAATAATAAAATTAAGAAACCTAATAATTCTAAATTATTTATACTAAATTACAAGAATCCTAATAAAATAATTTATCAAAAATATTAAAACTAAAAATACAAAAAGTCTT